AATCAGCCTGTTTTATAATTGATACTATTCAGTTCTTCTGTGCTTTGAGAGCTGAATCAGAGAATGATAATCTTTTTCAAATAGAAAAAATAATCCGTATGGAGCTCAAGTGAAACAATAATCATACATTCATGTGTGGACAATTTAGTTCAGTGTAGCAAAAAAAATCATCTTACTAACACACGCAAATTGCACCAATCCGAACCCACCTGGAGAGGACTATAGAGATTGCTGACGTTTATCTTACGCACACTACGTCACGTATACGTATACGTAAAATGTTTTCATCGGGAAAAAAAACTTCATAGCGGAAAATTTTCCCGATGAAAACAAATCACTGATACTATCACACTTTAGCAATCTCTATTGACTTATTGCCACAAGATATCACTAATACAAGCTTGCTAGTGTAGCCGCGTAAAATCGATTTGTTTATTATTTTCAACCACGAGATCCGCTGTTAGAAAGCAGAAAACGAAAATGTATGTTTAACCTACACACAAAAAATTCATTTCGAATTCGAATTTCCATGTAAAATTCCACATGATTTTCATGTGTCCACACATAAACAGAATCCACTCAGAAGTACACATGCAATTTATGAGTCACAGGAATAGTATGTGTGGTGACACATGAATTTTATGTATTCACATTAAAAGTATGTGTCTGACACTTATATGCCATTTGTTTATCAGATTGCAAAAATTCATGTTTAATTAATATTGAAAATAACATAATAATACATTACAGCGTTGAAGCTGCGTGTACGCTGCCATCAGGACGTGCTTCATTCCCAACCCGAACAATTACAATAAAATAGATTGGAATAACTATGCTAAATAACGGCGGTGTAGTGGTAAGCGTGATTACCTCTCACCCCAGCAGGCCTGGGTTCAATCCCAGTCGACGCCGCACACTGGGGCAGATCAGTGATTTTCTCGGAAAAAATTAATAACTTTTGAACAAAGCATCCAATCAGAATACTGTCTTGGGTAAAGTTGTTTGTATTAGTTAAGCGCTTCTTCTGAATAAATTAATTAGTACGCAACTTGGTCGTAGAGATGGCACGCGAATCTAACTTTTGAATAAAGCATCCTAGACGTATAGTGTTTTCAACAAAGTTTTTCATCTATTAAAATGAAGGAAAGTTGCAGAAGATATAAAACTTCCATAACCTTTAGTTTCGGAGATATAGGGTGTATTGAAAAATATGATGCCAAAATTTTCATATGTTTGCTCTGGTTTCTGCATTTATTCCAACGAAAACAAACTAGATGCAAATTTTCATTGCACTATTTGTGGAATTTATAGTGGTTTTAGTGAAATATTCTCGAAAAACATGATATTTTGCCTCTATTTTAGGTGGGTGGGATTCTCGTAGGGGCAGCTAAGGGCAGCTGGACTTTGTCTCTTTTGCTAGCTCATGTCATTGTCTAACATATACCAGAAAACTGAAGACATGATATTCGATGATTTTTTTTAATTTCACCTTTTGTAAACCGTTACAAGTATCTCTACTAATAAGGAAACCTGTCAGTTATGTATAATTTTTATTCGTTAAACTTTTTAAATTGCAGAAGCAGTAATGGTTTAAAGATTAAACTATGTCTTAAGTTGAAGTATTTAGAAATCAGTTGTCCTTAATTGTCACTATTTGTCAAATGAATCCGGTGGTTGTAATAATGCCAATACCTCGCTATTTTTTTTATTAATTGGGCTGAATTTTTCTTTGGTCTTTTTCGCAGACTTGTAATTAATGGATCTGGTTGTAAAAATAGTTTGATGTGCTTGTGTGATCTATTATCTTTACTAAAATTAATTTTGAGACACCACTAAACGAAATGCATGTTGAGCATATGGCATAGAATAAACAACTGTTGAAAATTTACATTGAAGGTGAATCCATTATAGCAACTTTGTGGATTATTGCTCAACACCGGAAATTGATCACTGAACTGAGACGAGAAAAAAATTCACGCTTATGGATACCAACTACTGAAACATTGACGCACATTAATAATTCTCGATTACTTTTTCGAAGAGATGTATCAGCTTTGTAAACAATGCATTTGATCGTCGTTTTGGCGTAACTGGTAGTTCGCTCACGTATATCAGATAGGGGAAATTTTCTCCTGCATGATAGTGGTGTTCGTATGCGTGGATGAGCTACCAGTTACACCAAACCGACGATCAAATGCATTGTTTACAAAAGCTGATACGTCTCTTCCAAAAACTAATCGATAATTGTACGTTGTACACGATCACGTTGGCTCGGCAGCACACAGCTTGTACAATGATGTCACATATACAACTTTACCAGGGTAATGCAGCTGATTGAGCTGACGTATACATGGTGGAAAGGGACGGATAATCGTGTAGTAAGCAGAGAGTCAAAAACAGATGATAGCATCAAAAACATGGCCACCAGCCAGGCCCCTAGTTCGCTGGCAGCTCATAATAAGTAAACAATCTCAAAATTCAGCACAGCATTAAAAATGGTGACATGTCAAAAATTTATATAATGTTTTTCATTATGTGAAACAGTTCATTTCAATGTAAAGGATGTTTTTTATCGGTATATATAAAGTGAAATTAAAAAAAATCATCGAATATCATGTCTTCAGTTTTCTGGTATATGTTAGACAATGACATGAGCTAGCAAAAGAGACAAAGTCCAGCTGCCCTTAGCTGCCCTTTCGAGAATCCCACCCACTTAAAATAGAGGCAAAATATCATGTTTTTCGAGAATATTTCACTAAAACCACTATAAATTCCACAAACAGTTCAATGAAAATTCGCACCTAGTTTGTTTTCGTTGGAATAAATGCAGAAACCAGAGCAAACATATGAAAATATACAAAAAAGTTAAGAAATACGAATTTTGACATCATATTTTTCAATATACCCTATATCTCCGAAACTAAAGGTTATGGAAGTTTTATGTCTTGTGCAACTTTCCTTCATTTTAATAGTTAAAAAACTTTGTTGAAAACACCATACGTCTAGGATGCTTTATTAAAAAGTTAGATTCGCGCGCCATCTCTACGACCAAGTTGCGAACTAATTAATTTATTCAAAAGAAGCGCTTAACTAATACAAACAACTTTACCGAAGACAGTATTCTGATTGGATGCTTTGTTCAAAAATTATTAATTTTTTCCGAGAAAATCACTGATCTGCCCCAGTGTGCGCCGCCGGGATGTTTTGAGGCATAACATCTCTGATCACGCCTTCCTTCGGAAGGGAAGTAAAACCGTTGGTCCCCGGTTCATGAGTTGATGGGTGGATAGGTACGGTACGACCCAGGTGTGGGAGCTGCCTCCCTGGCGTCGGTAGCATTGGTGCACAGCACGAAAAACAAGATTGACGGAAAACAAATCAAGGGTTTTCCCTAAAATATCAAAGATGACTTTTAAATGTATTTACCAATTCCATACGTACCGTTAGATTTGATAAAGAGTCAAAAATTGTTGAGATATTGTTAAAAATCCAACACTGCATCTTGATTCCAATTCCACCATACGAGTTTCAAACACATTCAAACGTCATTAGATTCACTTCGGCATACGGTTGTAGGCGGAAAAAATGGATTTGCTAGGCACGCTTCTTTTGTTTTTGAGAATAGTGGATGTAAATATTAAAATTATGTGTTCTTATAGACTTTATTTTGTAGGATTTGAACTAAACTATCGTATCCCAACGTATGATTGATTCGTTCACGAAAAATAATTGATATATTTGATGTTTCTGCTCGATATAACGGAAATGGGTGCTTATGCCGAAGTAGTTCTCTACCCTATGTTGTTGGTAAGAAGACTGTTCCCATACTTGCTTTTCTGTAAAATTCTGTACAGAAAAAAGCAGAAGTATGTTCCCGGCTGCACCATATTATTTTCGTACATCAACTTACAGCAACTTACAACAAAAGCAAAAAAGCAAGTACGGGAACAGACCTAATGTATATTAATCGACAGACAATTATTATTATTAACTGTTTCAACAAGCTTTTGTTCGCGACCCCCAGTAATCTGAACACTTTTTAATTTGAACCTCGCTAATCTGCACGCTGTTCAAAACTACAAATTGCTCAAACGTCATTCAGCATATAGAATGGAGGAAAGCGAAATGAAACATGAAACCTTCACGAGACGATTTTTTAGCCGCAGTACTTTGGGGGAATCAAACATTGTTCAAAAATTTAGCTATGATAAAATTTACAAAATTATGTTACTGAAACTTACCGAAGACCACATTACAGAATCTGTTCCTGCGGTAAAACATTACAAATTGTATATGCTTTTTAATAAAATCTTACCAAATTTAGGTAAGGTTTAAATTTTCCTATTAGGTGTACCCTCTGAATGTGGATAAGGAAACGATGATGTAAGCTGTGAACATAATGTCTGGTAGTTAATAAGCATCGGACTGTGTTCCAGTGAATTAATTCTATTTTTTTTCCTGCTGTCGACTACTTCTGAGAGGCGAGCCTCTATTGCCAATAACATGGCGGCATTGCCGTTGTCGCTGATAAAACACGATCCGCAGCCGATCATGATATACCAGAAACCAAAATATCAAAGAAATATTGTTGTGATCGACAACTAGTTTTGCGTCTCGAACCAGTTTCGTGTCTCTTGCTGAGGTCCTGTTGTATTGTACTTCCACATACATGAATAAACCTATGAATGCAGGCTAATGAGAGCTTGCCAGGTGATCGTGTGCCCGATTGCCTCCTTCAGAGAATATATATCATCTTATCGAGCTAAAAATATTTGGTGCGCCCTCTAGAAGGTTGAGTTTGAAGCAGTAATACGTATCCCACCGTTGGTTTCATTAATTAAAAGAAGCTATTCCCGGTTATTTTAAGCTCCATCTATCAGTGAATTCAACACGTTCTGGGCTCGAAAGCCACAGTTTTAGAAGGAGTACGTGACTTTTTCATCCACATCAATATAGTCTTACAATAGCACAACCTAATGATAGTGTCTCGGTAAACTTACCCTTCAACGCCACCGATGTAAACAACTTGTGTCATGACCGTTCCTTTCGATTTCTTGGAGGTTCTGGTTTGGGGGTTTGGTTAGCGCTACGTGTATCACGAACGCCTTGCTCAAACTAGTTTCGCTTACTGCGGATAATTATTGTCTGAATTAGTCTACTACACTGCAGCTCAGCTTCTGACGTAAAACACCACCAATCCTATTGATTTTCACTTTGCTTCGCTTCGGAAGGTGGACTGCACTCTTTTCAGCCAATCTTTTATCGAGAAACAAGTGCAACTCTGTGATGTCTCGGTACTAATCAACCTATAACTGCACCAATACACACAACGGAACCTACAGAGGTAAACAAAAGTGGATGGAATTTTGCCAACTAGGAAAGAGTTTCGTATACTCGTTTTTTCTTCGTGTCACATTCGTGCCAACTTTCAAACTAAACAAACAACAGCTTACTAGTGTAAATATTTGCACTTGAAATCGACCTGAGGAAGATGGGACTATTCTCGTCTTCCTCGTAGATTTCCTCAATTCACTAAAATAATGTATAACACGTAAAATCACCACTATATGCTTTAGTTTTCTCCTTCTAGGTTAATGTTATGTATATTTTCGATCAACTTCACTCACTCTCACTTCCTTGGTCGATGGAGGAAAAAAGCTCTACAACTGAACTGGGAGTAGCCAAGATAAGCACGTCCAACACGGTCCACTTTCCGAGCGCGAATGAGTTGAGAATTTAGATTGAGTGCATGTTGTCTTGTCGCAAATATTGTTCCCGAAAAAAAAAACTGTCTATAGCCGCTTGTAAGCTAGGCTCTCTTCGACTATGTTTATTAAAATAAAAGCAATGTCTTATGTGGTATGATGGCCGCGAGCATCCACGAGCTACACTGCCATATGCCTCACTCGGTCATAAACACGCGTGCCACGTGCTTGCTCTCGCGCACGGATCTCCGGTCGCGGGTGCTACTGCTAGGAGTATGAACGAAGAGAGAAAACGAAAACCAGAGATTATTCTAGTACTCCTCTAGTGAGTGCCTTCAAGCTTATGTTAGTTAGATGCAAGCAGGAAGTAGTATTGAAAACTTTCGTTATATTTTATCTGGTTAATTTATTGATTGTTGGAAACATTCATTTCACTTTTACTCATCTACTGTCTTACCTACTCATAACGAATATACGTTGAATCCGGGGGGACATGAACTCATCTAATTCTGTATTGCAAATGCTATGTTAAATTAGACGAAGTATACGTTGTATTCCAGGGACTGCGGATACAAAGTATATTCGTTATGAGTCAAGTAACTATAATTGATTCTACTATGAATGATTCTACTATGAATCTAATAAATTGATTCTACCTAATTCAAACGTTTACAACCGATTCAAACTATAAGCAACTCAAAACGACACCATACAAGCTTCACTTTGCACCAAGTGAATTATTCTCGTAGCACGGAGAGTGAGTATCGACAGAGCACACGCCATGTACTCTCTTCTCGTCTCACTCATGCTCTCCCAAGTCATTGGGACTGACACGACGCCCGTCGTCAAGGAATTTGCGCTCGCGTTCAGTTAACCACCCAGACCCACGCCCCCCAGCGATCCACCGCCATCCCATCCATCACCCAGTAGCATTTTGGCGAGGGAGAGCATATCTAGCAAAAATATTTTCCAAATGACCAAAGAGCAAGAGCAAGGCCGTCTACTTTCACGCGACGCGATCAACCTAAGAGCGCGTGGCAAAACTCGTGTGCTCACTCGGCGCGATCCCCACGATTGAGCTGCTACTCTGCCGAATGCTTGCTTGTATACTAATAGTGCTAATAGCTTACTATGTAGGTACTTACGGTACTTACTGACGTACTTACACCACTGTAGGCTAGTTGATCTGCACTGTTCGTTGAATAAATATGAAGGGACCAATTTGTTCGTTCTAATTTGCGTGAATGCTAAATTGCTTGCTAGACTAGGAGATTGCGTAGTACAGTAGTTTTTAACGAAGTGTATTTACCTCTGTTCAGTACCAGCTAATATTTTTATCTGTCAACAGTACTAGTATATGCCCGGTAATATATTAATACAGATTGGATAATGAGGTACTAATGTTTCCGTAATGTGTGGTATAGATAGATCAGACTTTTTTCTTTCAACAATTCCACATAACCGCAATTCCAAATATTTAACATTCATGTTCAAGATGGTTGATTAAGGTATACTTTGGTGTAATAAGACTACTGAAAAAGCGCATGGGTTTTCGTAGAACATTATAAATGATTTACAAAAACTACAAGGAATAGCCCAAAGGGTTGGTACGAACTGTCTGTCTGTCTGTCTGTCTGTCTGTCTGTCTGTCTGTCTGTCTGTCTGTCTGTCTGTCTGTCTGTCTGTCTGTCTGTATGTCTGTCTGTCTGTCTGTCTGTATGTCTGTCTGTCTGTCTGTCTGTCTGTCTGTCTGTCTGTCTGTCTGTCTGTCTGTCTGTCTGTCTGTCTGTCTGTCTGTCTGTCTGTCTGTCTGTCTGTCTGTCTGTCTGTCTGTCTGTCTGTCTGTCTGTCTGTCTGTCTGTCTGTCTGTCTGTCTGTCTGTCTGTCTGTCTGTCTGTCTGTCTGTCTGTCTGTCTGTCTGTCTGTCTGTCTGTCTGTCTGTCTGTCTGTCTGTCTGTCTGTCTGTCTGTCTGTCTGTCTGTCTGTCTGTCTGTCTGTCTGTCTGTCTGTCTGTCTGTCTGTCTGTCTGTCTGTCTGTCTGTCTGTCTGTCTGTCTGTCTGTCTGTCTGTCTGTCTGTCTGTCTGTCTGTCTGTCTGTCTGTCTGTCTGTCTGTCTGTCTGTCTGTCTGTCTGTCTGTCTGTCTGTCTGTCTGTCTGTCTGTCTGTCTGTCTGTCTGTCTGTCTGTCTGTCTGTCTGTCTGTCTGTCTGTCTGTCTGTCTGTCTGTCTGTCTGTCTGTCTGTCTGTCTGTCTGTCTGTCTGTCTGTCTGTCTGTCTGTCTGTCTGTCTGTCTGTCTGTCTGTCTGTCTGTCTGTCTGTCTGTCTGTCTGTCTGTCTGTCTGTCTGTCTGTCTGTCTGTCTGTCTGTCTGTCTGTCTGTCTGTCTGTCTGTCTGTCTGTCTGTCTGTCTGTCTGTCTGTCTGTCTGTCTGTCTGTCTGTCTGTCTGTCTGTCTGTCTGTCTGTCTGTCTGTCTGTCTGTCTGTCTGTCTGTCTGTCTGTCTGTCTGTCTGTCTGTCTGTCTGTCTGTCTGTCTGTCTGTCTGTCTGTCTGTCTGTCTGTCTGTCTGTCTGTCTGTCTGTCTGTCTGTCTGTCTGTCTGTCTGTCTGTCTGTCTGTCTGTCTGTCTGTCTGTCTGTCTGTCTGTCTGTCTGTCTGTCTGTCTGTCTGTCTGTCTGTCTGTCTGTCTGTCTGTCTGTCTGTCTGTCTGTCTGTCTGTCTGTCTGTCTGTCTGTCTGTCTGTCTGTCTGTCTGTCTGTCTGTCTGTCTGTCTGTCTGTCTGTCTGTCTGTCTGTCTGTCTGTCTGTCTGTCTGTCTGTCTGTCTGTCTGTCTGTCTGTCTGTCTGTCTGTCTGTCTGTCTGTCTGTCTGTCTGTCTGTCTGTCTGTCTGTCTGTCTGTCTGTCTGTCTGTCTGTCTGTCTGTCTGTCTGTCTGTCTGTCTGTCTGTCTGTCTGTCTGTCTGTCTGTCTGTCTGTCTGTCTGTCTGTCTGTCTGTCTGTCTGTCTGTCTGTCTGTCTGTCTGTCTGTCTGTCTGTCTGTCTGTCTGTCTGTCTGTCTGTCTGTCTGTCTGTCTGTCTGTCTGTCTGTCTGTCTGTCTGTCTGTCTGTCTGTCTGTCTGTCTGTCTGTCTGTCTGTCTGTCTGTCTGTCTGTCTGTCTGTCTGTCTGTCTGTCTGTCTGTCTGTCTGTCTGTCTGTCTGTCTGTCTGTCTGTCTGTCTGTCTGTCTGTCTGTCTGTCTGTCTGTCTGTCTGTCTGTCTGTCTGTCTGTCTGTCTGTCTGTCTGTCTGTCTGTCTGTCTGTCTGTCTGTCTGTCTGTCTGTCTGTCTGTCTGTCTGTCTGTCTGTCTGTCTGTCTGTCTGTCTGTCTGTCTGTCTGTCTGTCTGTCTGTCTGTCTGTCTGTCTGTCTGTCTGTCTGTCTGTCTGTCTGTCTGTCTGTCTGTCTGTCTGTCTGTCTGTCTGTCTGTCTGTCTGTCTGTCTGTCTGTCTGTCTGTCTGTCTGTCTGTCTGTCTGTCTGTCTGTCTGTCTGTCTGTCTGTCTGTCTGTCTGTCTGTCTGTCTGTCTGTCTGTCTGTCTGTCTGTCTGTCTGTCTGTCTGTCTGTCTGTCTGTCTGTCTGTCTGTCTGTCTGTCTGTCTGTCTGTCTGTCTGTCTGTCTGTCTGTCTGTCTGTCTGTCTGTCTGTCTGTCTGTCTGTCTGTCTGTCTGTCTGTCTGTCTGTCTGTCTGTCTGTCTGTCTGTCTGTCTACCCCACACAAATGAAACAGACATTTCTGCATAACTCGAGAACTAATCATGCAAATCGAAACAAAATTGGCATGTGGAGGTATAAGGAGATAGTCATAGGGGGTAGCCCTTTAGATAAGAGGGCGGGCTACGTACAATATAGTATGCTTGTTTTTAATCGGCGCATAAACTCAAGCTAATATTGAATCCCGAGCAAGGCCGGGCACACTCAGCTAGTAAACATATATTTGGAATAAATGCTGTATTACAGTGTATCATGTTGAATAAAACGGATTTCCCGAATTATCATTGAGATCGATAGATGCACCTTTATTCCGCTCTTTGCTCTGATCTGATTAATTTACTTATTAAAAGCTTCCAAGTTTTCCCGATTCAGCACCAATAGATTCATTATTCCACAACACTGAATCAGTAGAGTAGTGATTACCGTTTCCGATTTATAAGTAGAAAGTCGAGAGTTCAATCCAAAGCTCAACCCTTTTTATTTGTGTTCTAATTAATTTAAATCGTTATCACATCACCAACGACAACGAATTCATTGATCTAGTCCTGGATCTAGTTTAAAAATAGCCCAACATTCTTTCCTTGGAAATTGGAGAGGTGAAGAGGTAACATTCGTCTCATGTAAAACAACAATGAATGAATTAATCATTCCCACAGGACCTTGAAAGAGCTAGAGTTGCAATCGGGAAAGTTGATAGGAATTCAGTTTCGAGCAAGCTTCTATTGATTATTTAGCTGCCCATAATTGTATGCTAGAATAGCTCACATGGCAATGGAAGCAATGATATTTAATAAACGCTGAATATTTAATCACAAATTTGATCGAATAAGCTCTGTGACAACTCATGTAGGTCAAAAAAAAAACTTATACTTTAACATCGCCCTGAAAAGTACGGCTTTGGTTTGATGAGCATGGTCGTCGATCGAGCGGGAAGCAATTCATGCCTTTTAAATAAAGGAAACACTCCTGTTGTTATTCTCCTTAATAAGAAACAACAACAACAACACTCATATTGTGGTACGTTAGAAGCGTTAAGCGCCCATCACACATATCAATATATTGATAATAAATTGACATACTGACAATATTATTGAAAAGGTGATATTGAAGACGATGATTGATGACAAGTATTGTCGAAAAGCTGATTTCAATTTCACTTTGTCAATACTCAGAATGTATTGACAAAAATCCGTCAATTTCGCCATCAATATCATCGATATACAAATATTGACAACATTTATGGCAATACGTTAGAAGTCTTTTTTACCTTAATGTATTGAAGTCAATATTACTTGTCTCAATTTCCCCACACAAGAAACATG